AAAAAAAAAAACCCGATTCCCACGATCCTGCCCCGCACCCCCGGGCCCGAGAGCCGCGGGCTGTTTTTCAAACGCATTTACCGTGCTCATCTCCTTGCAGCTGATCGCAGACGGGCCGGTTAACACCCAGGTAATCTCGGCATTTGCCCCCAGCCGTGCTCGGCGGTTCAGGCTCCTCTCCACCCCAACTGCTGTTGCTGGACAAGAATGGAGTCGGCAGTGCGCCTGCGCGGCAGGCCTGGCCCCTGGAAATTGACGCACGCTTCCTGCCCGGCCGCGGAACAATTAAAGGAGTAGCGCATTGAAACGCTAATTGCCCACTCCGCAATCGTCTGACACCTTGTTTGTGCAAGTTGTACGTGGGGAGGTGTTTAATAATGAGTTGATATCTCTTTCTTTTAAGCGTAAACGTGAAGGGTCAGGTAACGGGAAGAGGCTCATTCGGCTTACTGCTGGCGTGGAGCCTACGTTTTTTTTTTTCTTCCATAATGTAATGTTACAGACGGGCAAGTTGTTCTACTGTAAAGCCCCGGGGACTAAAGAGAACTGTTTTAATTAAATAAAGCACCAGATAACATCACTTCTTGCACCGGCATGCTTTTATAAGCTTGGGAGAGGACACGCAATGTTCCAAGTATTTAAATCTTGAGTGATACCAGCCAAAACGACCATGCGAAGCATCCTTGATAAGCATGCACGTTTAACTACCCGTGACAAGAGTCATTTAAAAGAGAACTTTTTTGTTTTGAAACAGTACTCTGTAATATATCTTTTCATCCCTTGTCCAGTCAGAGGGATCACAAACATTTGATGCTTTGAGACAGGCTGGCTGGTAACCAGTTCCTCTGGGTATATCACACTGAAGCACAAGTTAGATAAGTGGTACTGCATGAGGAAGATCATTGTTTTAGCTGAAACATTTGCAATGCGGAAATAACAGAGAAATCTTGTTAATATGTAGTGTCAATTTAGCTGCAGTCTCATTTCTTCTTAGGACATGAAACATTACCACTGTTGCTCGTGAGTGTGACTTTTCTGCAATGAATACCCAGCACATGTCCAGACCTACTGTATATAAACTCTTCTGAAACAACCTCCTCCTCTGCTCTACAACCTATTGCTGATCTAATAAAATGCAACATGCAACATTTGTCCAGACCTAGATGTGACTGTAACAGGGTTCTCTACAACCACTGGAGATTTCCAAACACAGGCTGGAACTGAAGTTACCACCCACTCAATTGCACTAGGAAGAGAACTAATATTCATGTATTGGGTTTTGTTTCTTAACATCCATGGATGGATCAATATCTAAATTCAAGGGCGATGTTAGATTTGATCAATTTAGTATCTTAACTGGGTCGATTAAGTCAAGGATCACGGGCTGTTGGTATTTTCAATTTCAGATCTCGAAACTACTTCATTGTACCTGTCACCTGCTCTGAGGCCGGATCATAAGAGAGACTGCAAATCAGGAAGTCTAGGAGGGCCTGAATGCTGTGAGTTTATTCATTTCATCCCGGCTTTCCTTGAAAGGAGCCAGTGTTCCAGCTTCAACAATGTGGCCGCGGATCGTATTACACACTCCCACCACCCTTTGTGTAAAGGAGTTCCTTCTGTACCTCCCGTTCCAGGCATGTCCATGTAGATGTGACCTGTGGCCCCTGGCCTGCGGGCCTCTGGTTCTGAGGACATGTGATGGGTTGAGTTATCAATGCTGTTGAGGGTTTCTGTCCAAGACTAAAAAGCTTTGGTAATTGGGTTATTGTAGTCTGTCAGTGCAGGCTATTATTTTAAGCCTTGGCTGTTGTATTCGGTCCCTTTTTTTGTAACATCATTTTCCACAACATTCTTAATTCTTATTACTACATTGTACATTTTCTTTTATCATAATGCCAATTCCAACTTTTTTATATTGCTTCCCACATTGTCTCAAAGATGGAATGATACAACAAATTATTTTTCATCCGCAAGAATCTTCAAGCACAGGTTTCATCCTTCTCGTATATTGTTTGGTACTTTTGTGTAGTACTCGTCTGCATGAAATGTCATCTGCCGGTTTGCCTGGTCTTGAGTTCTGTATCTTTTATTTCTAATTTAACTTCACTAGATTACTTACTATGCCAGATTCTAAGATCATTGATATTGGAAAGTGTAGATGGCCCATTACAAATTCTTGTGGTACTCTAGCAATAAATTGCTCACGTAAATTTGAGCATTCACTCCTTATCTGTGCTGTTTTCTATTCTTTAACTCTATCCTAGAAAGCCTATTCCCTGCCTGCATTTGGAAACCATCTTTGATGAAGACCTTAATCAAAAGCCTTCTTAAACTCTTAATAAACCATATCATACGTTCTGTGTGTCCGTTAAAGTTGTTGATTGTTCAAAGATGTCTAACACTATCAGTTAAAACGGAATTGGTTGGAGGTCTTAGAAATTAGTGAGTTTATAGAGAAGCTTAAAATGCAGGATCGTGGTTCTCCGGGACCAGGGCTGGTCATTTTCGTGCTAGAGCCCTATAAGAAATATTTTACATTGGGTTTCGTTTTTCTTTACATGCAAGACGATGTATTTTTAATAAATTCATAAAGGCAATCAAAACAGGATTCGGAGGTTGTGCATATTCATAAGACAAACGAGTTGATCTTTTATTCCCACATGGACGGGGTTATTCCGAAACTTATCCAGCACTAATTATGACCGCACAGGATGTTTCCGAGTACTTTATTGACGTGTGTGAGGGAAGCCTGTCATTACTCGCACTCTGCCTTTCAGATACACCATAAACACCGGGGTTTACCCTTTGACAAGAAGAAAAAAAACACCTTTCAGCTGAACTAGAACCGGAAACCGTAGTACTTTCTCAATTTTATAATAACAAAACCTAGAAATCTGTTAAAGGGGGTTTTAAAAGATTAAATTGCTTATTATGCGCATTCCAACCTGGAAACACCTGCTGCATGAATGTAGTGTGCTTTTAGTAAAATGCGCCTATATGTTTTACCGCTGAACTGTAGGTTAATAAACGCAGCAGCGATCCGATCTCAAAGATGAACATTTAAACGCACCATCTCAATGGTGATTGATCTGACTGACCTGGCGACCGCAGACTGAAGCGGCCACACGGGGAGCCTGTACGTCACAATAACACGAGAGGCTACAGTAGGGTAGTGTTTCACAGGCTAACGGGGTGAAACTCGAGTGGGAAAGCGAGAGGTACAGTATGGTCCGATTGCCCCTTGAACCCGGCGCGGCTAGAGGGGTACCTGCTAGCTTCACTCTCAGCACGTAAGCAAGGTGGCAAAAGAAGGGCAGTTCTATTGCACAAACAACAAAACCTTTCAGAGCACCTTCACCGATTTGTCATTTGAATTGTAAATGAAAGGGGTGAAAGTTTTACATTTGAACGTGATGAAGTACGTTTTCCTCGGGTCATATGAAAGCTGATCCTCTTAGGATTTCATTTTTTATTTAATCGGTTTTCAAAGGAGCCGCAACCTAAATTGCAAGTCGCATCCTCTCAACGGGCGAGCAAACGACATTTAAATTTCTTGCGCTGTTGCTCGTCGTTGCTACCGTCTCGTTTCCTAACGTATGAATGGATCGCCCTCTTGTGGACTTAGCAAACATAACACAGTTTTTCTACCACTTAAATACAGGTCTCGACATTTGCAGGAAACGCAACGTATTTGAACGTGCTGGTTCTGTGCACAGATTCTGAAAGTCTACTTACAGTACCACATACTCGACAACATTAAATCCCCACAAAGTGAGATACCGCAGCCGGCTTGCAGTGTACCAACTTCACACCGCAGCTGAAAACGCATGTCTGCGTGTCCAGTGGTATGAAGAG